GCGGAAGCATTCTTTCTTCATTAATACCCACACCCACACCCACACTCCACACCCAGAACCCGCGCCCACAGAAATCCACAACCCACATCCACCCACACACCCACACCCAACCACACATCCAACCACACTCACACTCACACCCCACCCACAACCGCCGACACCCACACCCACAATCACACTCACATCCACACCCACCACACTCGCAATCACATCCACACCCAACCACACTCACGATCACATCCACACCCATACCCAACCACACTCACAATCACATCCACACCCACACCCCAATCGTATTGCTTATGTTTTCTCCCGTTCTGTTTCAGTTCTCCACATAAAAAGACGGGTACGATAGTCACCATCGCAATGGTATAGTTGCAATTTATAGAGTTTCTTGCATTGTTGGAATTTTTCATTCTTCCAACTCGGAAGTGCTGCTATTTGAGAACATGTGCACACTCGTGTATATGAAGTCCGTTTAAAAAAGAAAGGTAACTATTTATAATGAATCTGACCGAACCTTGAAACATACACTGAAAGTTAATTTTCATTGTTGTTTTGGGAAATTCTGCTCAATCATCGTTTTGAGACGATTGATTTTGATAACCAAACTTCAGGAACTGGTTTTCAGTTAACAAAGAAAAATCTGACAACTAAACGTTGGCTTCTACATCCAATACTTGAGGCATGCATCTCACATGTGAAATACTTCTTCTCAGTATTGTTTTTATTCCTAATGTCAATACTCAAGGGATTCGTGGTGGCACAAAGCACATACTTAAAACACAATGATCATCCTTTTAGTATTACAATAAAAACATGCTATCGGTATGACAAGTTTCCTGAACGGAGAAATGGAGGTGAGCAAGGGAATTTTTTGTGAAGTCTCATGAAAGATCAAGAGAATTTTTGAGACTGATTAATACACTGTTTTTTCGATATCAGAAGCGTTACCTATGTAAAATTCCTTGGCATAAGTTTCCCTGATCACCATTGGCATCCTGACCTTTTTTATGCGCCACCTCACGAGCGAAGGTCCCCAAGTGTTAGTCTCAGTTTTGAATTGGATATATATCAGTTTGTAGAGCTTGATAAGACTATAAGAAAGCTAAAAGGGTTCGTTCGGATGCGCTGTTCTTCTCAAGTCATGACCTTTTTACCTGCTTTTCGGCCTTTGGCAAGGTATATGTGAACAAGTCGAATCAAAGAATTTCGACCTGAAATTTTGCCTATAGATAGGCCTTATGATCATTAGAAAGCTCTAAAAATTTCAGCTCATAAAAATTTTTTCTTCTTTAGATGTTGGATATCCAGGAATCAATCACATATCACAAAGAAAGATAAAAAGCGAGCGTTTTCAACATTCGATATCTCAAGAAGAAAAAATTCTTATGGCCTGAAATTTTTAGAACTTTCTAATGACTATAAGGCCTATCTATAGGCAATATTTCAGGTGGAAATTCTTTGATTCGACTTGTTCCCATGTGCCGTGCCAAAGGTCGAAAATCAAGTAGAATGGTCATAACTTGAGTAGGACAGCGCATGGGAACGAACCCTTTTAGCCTTCGTATAGTCTTCTCAAGCTCTACAAACTGATATATATCCGACTCAAAACTGAGACTCAAGCTTGAGGACCTTCCCTCGTCAGATAAGCCACGACGCACTTCCACAGGAGCTACTCAATCGATTGTCACCGATTTGGCTGTTTTGATGCACTAGAGGGGTGGATGTTTGATGAATTTCAGTGTAAGTGGTTTCAAAAAACTTCGTTACAATGTTGATGCCGCACAACAATATTTAGGTCAAAAAAGGTGAGCTCCAAACAGCTTAAACTCCAAATTTTGAGTTCATTTACACATCCACGTTTTATTCATTGACCTCAGCTCATCTCGTGAAGTTTAGGGTGCAGACACGGGCCTCGGAGCCGTGTTAAGTCCTAATCTCAAAATTTACCTAAGGAACCATCTGGGATGCTATTAGCATTACCTGGAATGCTATTAGTGTATGTGTGTGTGGCCGTAAGGATAGGACAAGCAGTACTCAGGTCGCATTTCTGAAAAAAATTTTCTAAAAGAGGACTTCGAAACTGCTACCTCTACCTCTACCAATACACATACGCAGAGTACTAGCATCCAAGATTATGCTATTAGGATCCCAGGTTATGCTACTGGCATCGCAGTTATTGTATCTCTTCAGTATCAGATGTAAGTGTCGACCTAGTATCACAGCCAAATGAGGTCTGACTGCTCTTACCCAGAAATCCCTTACTGTATTGTATTCGTAAAAGATGGAGGTGTAAGTTAGCTTCAAATTTGGGGTTTCCGTGTGGAGCTCACTTTTTTTGACAAAATATTTATCATAACATCGAAGCATCGGAATACATTTATGAGGACAAGTTCGATTATATATATTATACGCATTACATTACAAAAATGGAATTTTGTGCGCTAGGCTATCATAACAGAGTTAATGGAGTATTGATATGGCATGTGTCTGTAGTTAGATCGTTGTCTACCGCCTTGCCTCTCACTATATGTTGAATATTCTTGGGTTAGATATTTGAATCCACGTTTCCGTATTTTTTTATTAGTTCTTTGTTATACTGTGTAGTATGAGTAAAGTGTGCGAAAAAATAAAAATGTATTAGACATGGCGAGTTTACTGGATGTTTTGGACTAGCCCAGACGCGACTGCTCAGCCTTGCTTGTAAAGATGACAATTCATGACTGGTATTGACGGCGTTTCAGACTAGTTCAAGTCGTTTGACATCGACTAGTTTTTGAATGTCTAGTGGATGGACCGAGGTCAATGTGTAATTTAGACTGCATAAGTTGACGTCAGTCTATCTCAATGCACCAGTCTGCCGTCAAGATGCCTGTCATATTTTGAATATAGTCGGGTTATATGTCCACATCCATCTTTCATCTTCTTTTCTTTAGTCTTTAGACTAGTCTGGACGGGGTCAAAAGACAAAACGGACTAGACGTAATGTGAATCAAGGACATTGTAGACTAGTCCAGATGTGTTTGAAAGACATTTGTCCAATAGGTGACTAGCCATGACGGGCGTGCAAGACGTTTCAGACTAGACCTGACAGGTATTCCGGACATTTAGGACTAGTGATGGCGGCCGTCTTCCTTTATTTTTTGCTCACTTGGATTTGTTCCGTTCTTGAGATATTAAAATTTTAATGAGAGCACTCCGATAAAAACACTGTACTTTTTGTGATTTTTTCTGACATCGATATTTCTTCAAAGATGTATCTGTTTCGCTGGAAATTTCTACTATACGTCTATCGTCAATTCATGTATTTTTCTTAGAAGGAACGAATTCAAATGAGTGAATCATTATTGAGTTGACTTGGACTATCAAGTACATGAAAAACATTGTTTTTGTAGTTTGTACATATACATATCGATTGAACAGATAATGCCATAGAGCTAAAATTTTGATCACAAAACGATCAGGTTGATTACTATTTCTGATAAAAAACTCAGCTATCTAACTGGCTCCTATGGTTCAGGAGACCTGTTCAAAAATATGATTTTCGTCGAAACCATGATTTTCCAAGAGGTCGATCGAGAGCAAAATTAGGTCTATAGAAGTCCGATGTTTATGATTTTAGAGTACACTGGTAGCAGTACAATGGCATCCAAGAATCAGAATGGGATGCTTTAAAATACGGTGTAGAGCCTTATTGAAAGATGATTCGAAGAATGACCTTATCCAAGCTGCATTCTTTAAGATTTGTTTAGAAATAAATAAAAACAGTCCACAGTATGAAATAAATTTTTGTTCAGTACACATGAGGACACATTCCGCTTCCGACTGAAATAAAAATCTTCTGTGAATATAAGAAAAAAAAATTTCGACGACAAACCCAGGGGCATTTACAAGGTGTGGTGGATATGGATGAAGGCCTCTCCCCCTCAGAAAAAGTCAATTTTGGTCAAATTTATCGATTTTGTCATTTATAAGTTGTTAGATAGAGGAAATTGTCTACTCTCGAATGTACTATAATTGATTGATTTTATGATGAGATTTAAGGATATTGCATACGATTTTCTAAACCTTCATAATGAAAAAAATAAGCTTTTTGGAAAACTTATTTTTCGCTTTTCTCAAAATCAGTTTTTTCGAGTATATCGTTTACGAGGGGAAACCTTTCTCAATAACGACTCAATATAAAAATGGTAACATTAGTTTTGTTATATAGCAGACACTTGAGGCTGGACCCTAATGGGGCCCGATTTGTGAATTTCTCCTCTCTTTAAATAAAAAACTTAGACCTTTGATTTTAATTAGCGATTTTTTTTGCCACGAATTTGAGAATTTTCCGGAAGTCTTTTTAAAAATCAAACAAAGGGAAATTAAGAAATCAGGCCCTATTGGGGTCTAGCCCTTAGTGTACTCTACAATTTAAAAACCATCCCGACATGCTAAACTCGAATCCTCATATTAAAACCCTTCCCCGCGTAAAGGGTATTTTTGACCAATGAATTGACTATAACTCGTAAATGGCTCGCAGATTTCAGAAGATATTTTAACCATAATATATTCTAGCCAAGACTAACATTCTCTGAAATTTCGGTTGAAGTCGGATGGAAAATAGCAAAGTTGGTTTCTGAGGGGGGGGGGGGGGGGGCCCTGAAGAGATTAGAGACCCACACCCCATGGCTGTGTTGTCCAATCCAAAGTGCACATGGGGTACAGTCTTCAGAAATGAAGCTCATATAGTTAGGAGATATTGTCAGCACATGTTTAATGGAAAATGTAAGATATTACTAAAATCTATTGTGGTGCTTCTTGCTCAACTCCAATAACTCAACTCGCATGCATCTACTCAATGTCAAACATAGACTGTGTACCTAATAACTTCCGATCCATATGATGAGATAGGTTTCTTGCGAATTTAAGGATCTCTATGATCAACCTGGATCGTGGCTCTCGTGCAATGGCTCTTAGGTAAGTTCTG